GAATCTGCTAACATGGCAAAAGAATCGATGGAATTCGGCGGTAAATTGTGGTACCAGATCATCGCTCCCTTCGAGAGGGTCTCCCCAAACTTTTTCAACAACACGGATTCGATCTCATCGTCCTCCAAATCATTGCCTTTTATGGCACATGTGTAAGAGGTGACATGTTCGTTAGGATCGGTCGTACCATTATATTTGGGAATTTCGGGCATACAGAATATTTTGGGGATTGGCTTCGGCGCAGCACTCGACGGAAAAGGCTTTTCTATGATTTTTTCGAATCAAGACCCTTTATCATTGGTGGAGCCCCCGGGATTTGATCGACCCTAGCATTGTACGTTTCCACCCTCTTGTCATTGGCTTCGACTCGTTTTGTGAGTTCTTCGAGCAATTTAGTAATTCCGGGAATAGTCCCCGATTCTTGCTCGTTAGATTTCACTATGGCGGGCTCTGTTCTAGGGGTGACTTCTCGAAGTGGATTGGAATCTGGCCTGCTTTGTGCGCAAGTTTGGCTCTGTAGCTGAGCTATAACTACTTGTTAGGCTTGTAGCATCTCGAAGATCATACGTAATGGATAGAGTTGTATCAAATAACCACTGTTATCCTCGGCCCCACGGTGGGCGCCAAACTGTTTACCCAAAAAATGGATAAAGTTGAATTTATATGTAGTTCCGAGGATATGTGGCGTAACTTAACACAAAATGTAAGGATAAATAGAAATGTAAATATAGATTATAGAGAATGTGAAATATATAAGGTTGTCAGGAACAATGAATCTTAGGATTCAACAAATAGAATCAATCTAAGAAATCTAAAAGAACGATTCTTTACTTTAGAAGAATATAGCGCTTTTATTACAATGTAAGCCTGAGAAAACTTATTTTACAAAAATAATAACCAAGCCCTTTTATAGTGGAGGGATTTGGTTCTAAGCACAATAAAATAAATATTCAGTGGGAGACCCATGATAAGTCAGCTTTTCCACAATTTCTACCAAGATTCTTTCTAGTGGGATTGCAACGGCTTTTGTCTGCGAGCTCGATCATGCTTAGAACCCTCGATTTTGGTTTGAGCTTGATTTTGACTCGAGCTCTTGATCTTTGTTCGAGCCCGATCCTGGCTCGAGCCCTCAAATTGATTCGAGGTCAATGTTGGTTGGTCTCTGGATCATCAGCATGATAGATCTACTCTGCCTCATGGTTCGATTTCGATTCGAGCTTGATAATGATATCGAACTCGACACGGATCGGCCTCCCCGGGTTCGAGGTTAGTTTGTTCCACCTTCAGGATCTTACTTCGATAGATCATTGTTCGAATTCGATCAGACGTGCTAAGGACGAAATCTATTTCGACCGTATACAATAACATATAATTGGTAAGTTTATAATTAAAATATGGAATTAGCCTGTTATATATCTCAAGTTAACTGTTGGAGGGTGTCGTGAGTCAAGATTGGAGTTGAGAATCACTAAGGGTTACGAGGGAATAGTTAGATATGATTCATTTACCTTTAATAAAAAAAAATAGATTTAAGCCCTTAAAATAAAAAATATTCCGGTAAAAAGTATTTTTCATAATTTTACAAGCATAAAATCGAATTAGTCAGAACCTCAATATAAATACCAAATACCTCGGAGAAGTAGGAGAAGGGGGATTGATGAGCGTGGAAATGATCACATGGTCTTGTATAAAAGGAGACATGCACACGAAGGCCCACGTTGTTAGTACAATAACAAACACATTTCTTTAAGTCCACTTGAAATTAAACCCCATCTAGGAAACACACAAACACAAATGTTTATACCTAGTTATGGCGTGTAACTAAGCGACCCCCTCCCTCAAAACCTCTTTCATCCTCCCTCTATGAGCCCATCTCTATGCAACTACAATAACTATTATGCCTCGTTGATCCGTAGCAAGTTAGAGACAATTATATGAATCCTCTCATTACTTAAACTTGTCCAATGTTGGATAAAATAAAATTAAATAAATAAAATATTTGTCTATTTGAGCATGCCGTGTATTCGGAAGAAATTCAAAAATAGCCAGATTTACAAGTGATAATTGAAAAATAGCCACAGTTTCAAAAATAATCAAAATTTAGCCACTTTTCATGTAAAGATAAATCTAAACGAAAACACTGTTCAAAATTCGAAAAATATTCTCGCATAATATACTGGAACTCCAGTATATTATACTAGAAATCCAGCATATTATACTGGAGTTCCTATATAATATACTGAAACTCCATGCAGTATAATATACTGGAATTCCAGCATAATATACCGGTCCAGCATTATATGCTGGAAGTTCATACACAGGTGCTTCAATCTCCAGTATATTATGCTGGAACTTTCCGCGTGTTAGAGTTCCAGCATAATATGCTGGAAGTTCATACACAGGTGCACCAATCTCCATTATATTATGTTAGACCGGTCTATGTTGCAGCAAAATAGTGGCTATTTTTTAATAATGCTGGTTATTTTTTAATTATCAGTCCGAAAACTAGCTAGCTCGTGCTATTTTTATCGTGTATTCTCTATTGTAAGGATCCGTCATTAGTTTATTAGTTTTATGATGGCGCAGCCGAAAATTTATATAACGAGATTCAAAGAAATACTAGAGTATCAAATTCAAAGAAAATAATTTTTGAACCCTTAAAAGCTAAACCAAATTTTTTTCTTATGTTAGGGGATTCGATAAATATAATAATTTACTCCCTTCATTTACTTTTACTAGTCCACTATTGATTTTACACGCCCATTAAAAAATAATAAATGAAGTGCATAATTTACCATGATACCCATATTAATTGATGCATATTTTTAATGGATTTGAGAAAATAATTTGAAATGAGTAATTAATACTGTGGGTATAATAGGAAAAAAGAAATTGTGTTCTTTTGATATGTTAAAAGTGACAAGTAAAAGTGAAAATCTATTTTTAGAATACTGGACAAGTAAAAGTGAACGGAGGGAGTATATACAATTGAAAAAGTTAGTCTTTATATATCCTATTTATACGCATGGGCAGATTTATTGTCCAAATTATGATACACGTGAACCCATAGTCTTTATGTCAAACTAGATATTCTATTTGTATATTTCTTAGAATTGATATAATATTATCTACCGTCTCATATGTTTCAAAAAGATTGAATGGTACACTTTATTTAAAATTGAGTTATTTATTCAATAGAACAAAGATCAATTCCACTTAATACTTCCTCTTCTTTTTTTTCTCCTTTCTTTAGTGCACCAATTTTTAAATGTCTTAGAAGGAACTGGTAATTTACTCTTTAGAAAGCTTATACACTGACTGAACAAGAAGGTTTCTTTGGCTACTTTCTTCCATGCATTTCTCTTCTTCACATCCAACATCACTTTCTATGTTATTGTACATTTGTACTCTCTCTTACTCTAAGACTTCCTCTCTTTTTTCTTCTTTTCCTTGTGGTCCATCCCCTCCTTTAAAGCTTGTCCGTTATCACTTTTTTCCCTAATCCTTTTCTAGCTACTATAACACCATGCTTACTTCTTTTTAATTTCTTCATCCTTCCAAGTTCATTCCCACTACGTAATAGCTTTCACTTTGCTCCAAACAAACAAAGAAGGAAAAAAGATAAGAGGAGCCAACTACACAAAATTTGAAAAGGAATTTTCTTACATTTATTTGAAGCATGTCAAGCAGAAGGTCCAGAGATTCGGGGTCTTCGAGGATTTCAGATGATCAGATGATCGAACTCGTATCCAAATTGCAACAACTTCTACCTGAGATTCGAACTCGCCGTTCCAGCAAGGTTCTAATTCTCATTTTCTCTTTTCACTAGACGAAAGCTTATTATTTCTTCTCCAGACTCTAAGTTCTGTGCATTGACAGCGTGTAAATTTTTTACATCATCAAATTTAGTTGACTTACGGTAACACACAATTTTTCAAACATAAAGTTATATACGTTAACTTTAAAAATGGAGTACTAACGTTATAAACCGTTAAATAGAAGTGACAATGTCAAAATTATTTTACACTATCGATGTATATAATTTTTTTTTTATGTAGCTCAATTAAATTCTTTCTTCTATTTATTGCATGTTTCAACATATGCAGCTGCATTTGATCAATATTTTCGTCAGTTATACATGTGGTATTCAAATTTTGTATATAGTATGTAAAAGTTGAGATTCTTTTGAAGGAAAGGAAGAGTGAGGTATAGTTACAGTAGTATTATATATATCCGAAGTATATCATTTGATCCTGTACGTACCTCTTGACTGTGTGGTTTTATCGTCGTTGTGTTGTTAGTTATAAGTTAAGGGTTCGTTTGGTTGACCGACTAGTTATTCAGGGATATAATATGAGGATAATAATGCAGTAAACAACAATATAGAAATTATTATGTGGTGAATAATGCAGAACTTTTATGTGATAAATAATAATAATGTGTTATGTAGGTGCCTAAATGTAACATAATGCTAACTTCCGTATAACTTATGCTACGTTTCGGTCTTTCTATACTCAGAGGAGGTGTGAACACCTTAATCTGACATACCAAAATTGGAAAAGAAAAATTGACGAGTCGAACAGAGAATCACCATGCACATTACCCTACTTGAAGAAAATAGACTAGACTTTCTATTTTCTATCTCTCTTCCTTTTCGTATGGTGTATTTTTTCTTGAAAACAACACAACTTCTGCAGTATAAGATTTGATTAATTTGTTCTTCATGTCGTTGGGGCCCAACTCCCAATATATAAAAGTCAATTTTACGTTAGTGAATTGGCCTTTTTATAGATTTGCAACGCATTACTGCACAGATTTAGGCATGGTTAGTCTAATATTATGCAACACTACATTTTGACTATGGCGTAAAAGGTATTTGCTTTAAGACTTGATTGTTCTTTTCCCATTTATTTATGAATTTACGTTCTATAAAAGATTTAAATTAATAATTTATGAAATAAGATAAATTACCTATTACAATGAAGCGCTTTCACATTCCTGGCATTTATCTCTATCGCGGCCCTCCCCTTGCTATATTATATAGTCACAAGTTATGGCAGCTCCAGCTCGTAATTATAGGTGTTTGCCCTACTGGTTTTGCTAACCTATTACACTTGTATTAGATTAGCATTGTATACATATTTTATTTTCTTTAAATACCCTTAACAATTAATTGGCATGCATTAATAGTAGAGGGTTTTTCGTCTTTTTCACAAACATTAAAACCCATCACAAATTTGCACCCATATCCCCCGTCCCTGTCTCCCCAGCTTGTCTCTCTTCAGAAACTCTCGTTGTCCATCCTCTTTACCAACGCCATAGATACTGAAGAAAGGAAAATTGATAAGCTCTTTCTTGTCTGTTTCTCTCATCATGCAATGTGCCAATAGAAATTTAAGAATTTGATCAAGTGAAACAATACTTCTTCACAATTTGCCACCCATCCAATATATAAGAGAACCCAAAATACAATCATTCATTTTCCTAACCCCATTCTTTCTAGATCTGCAATTTTAGATCTAATAAAAATGATGGGTTAGTGCCGTCCAAATTTGATTCTATATTAATCCGACTGCTGAAGCTTCTTCTAAAAGAACCAAAAAGGAAAGACAAACAATGAAGGAGAAATTAAAGCAATGATTGTTGTCCAAATAATATTCTAGTTTGTGTTTTGTCTTTAGGTTGCAGCCATTTTATCAGTTTAATGTTTTTGCTTATTGAGGTATCACCATTGACGTGAGAAGAAAAGAAAAAAGAGAAAAAAGAATCGGGCAAGCTTAGTGTTTGGACCAAAAGACAATAAAATCCCTCCTACTAATGTGTTGTTAGGATGCTGCTAGGGACAACAAAAGAAAATAGAAGATGCAAACAATTCTAACTTACTACAATCATACAATAAGTTAGCAAATCCCTATATAAATATATCAAGCACATCCAAGAATGACACAAGTAGTTTTATTGGGGACAATATTTTTCTGATTGCGCATGAATATGAATAAAATATATACATCAAATAATTATATTAATAGTGTAAAAATCTTTATTATATCATTGCATAAAGGTTAAATAGTTGTTGTATATATTGTGATTTTGGTTCACGTTGCAGGCATCAGCATCAAAGGTGCTCCAAGAGACTTGCAACTACATTAGAAGCTTGAACAGAGAAATGGATGACCTCAGTGATCGACTCTCTCAGTTACTATCCACTGTAGATGCTGACAGTCCAGAAGCTGCAATTATCCGCAGTTTGATAATATGATTAATTATTTTGATTTATATATTACAAGTATTCTACTAACTAGTTGAGAGAGTTAGTCATGAGTGGTTTTATATGCAGACTTTGAATGACGTAGGAGCATCTACTAGGTACAAGATGTCAAAATAAAAATTGATGTCACGTTTAATGGGCCGTCTATGTATTTAGCCTTGTTTTTTCCTCCTCTAGGTTCTATTAGTCACTAGCTAGGCCAATCATGAGTTAGATGAAATGTAAGTATAGGATCCAACGGACTCTTGCTTGTAATTACGTTTTCTCACTATAATTAATAAGATGGACTAGTACTTTCGAAGTTATTATTTGTTAGTTTATATGTTTTTTGACAAGATTCAAACATAGCTTGAGGATGTAGTTTTCCCACGAAAAAGATCAATATGTTATATAACTATGGTAATAAAAAATATATCTTTAGATGATGAATATATAAAGATATATTCGTTTAAAAAAAAATGGAAATGGGAAAAAAATCTACAACTATATATGACGTATTGTCCAATGGTCCCCCTAGTTACGGACACTTACTAGTAATCATGTTTTGTCACTATATATAAGTAATAAGATGGACTAGCACTTTAAAAGTCATTTACTTACTATTAGTTTATGTTTTTCATTCCGCACATGTTGAAGCAAGAAAAAAGAAAAACTTTAAAGCATGAAGCGATAACCGGAATGAAAAAAGAAAAGCCGCTTAAAGATCAGATAATTCCTAAACAGAAGATGAAAAAGAAAACTAGTATGTGTTCACATTATCCTTCACTAACTAGTTAAGGGTCAATATTGGTCAGCTAAGAAAATCAATCATCTTGATGCAACGCTCCATAAAATAGATATCGATAAAGAAGAGATAATGACACATGTTTTGTGTGTATTAATAAACCATATGCATGGATTGTGAAAAGGATGATATCGATGATCATCCCCTCACGTTGACAAGGGCATGGTGCATATATGTTTACCCTTAAAATCGCATAATAATTAAATTTGTAAGTGATTTTAAGGATACGCCGATTAATTTGATACAAAACGATAAATTGAGTCAGATTGAACAAATAAAGATACAGTAAATTCAAACCACATGAGAATGATTCCAGCCTTAGTGAAATATTCATCCTCGATCCGGGCTCACAATGGCTAGTACTGATGAACAAGAAAAAGAGCTATGAATAACAGTAAAAATAATAGTGTATTGCTTTGGGATGCGTGTTACAACCTGTTTAATGAATAGTCAGATCCCCCTTTATATAGTAGGGGAATCCTACTCTATGTATAATTCTGTAAAAGGTAATAAATCTTCTGTTTACCTGATTGCCGGTTCTCCATCGATACGCGCCGAGATCCATGCCGTGATATCCGGCCGTTCGCGGATATTACGACCTTCTGTTGGTCGTGCTTGGTAGCCTGACAATTCTCTTCGAAGTCTTTTAGGATGTGGACCAATCCCGGATTATGACTCCGGTATTCTCGAGGGCAAGCGTCATGCCCCCGGACTCTAACTCGGTGAGAACCCTTGCCTCGGTTCCGGTGCCTCATCATCATGTCTCGAGCTTTGTTTACCCTATCGGAAGCTGGGGTACACCATGATCCCGATTTTACCCGTATATAGATAGTCCCCTCGTTTCTCGGAGAGTAAGTTTGACGAGAAACGACATGAGCTCTCCGATTCCTTCCTCAATACGCCATGACAGAAGCGACAAAAAACCCGAAACGTCTCGTCAGTCATGTCATTATGACTTCAAATATGTGCCAGCCGTCGGTCGGCTGTTCCTGGATGCGAAGCGTCGTGACGCCCCTATAAATATCCCCTCATTTGTTCATTTTTTACTTTACGCCCAAACCTCTACTCTCGTGCCTTTAGAAATTCAGTACTCTCTTTTATACTCTAGCATTTTTACCTCCGTTACTCAAGATTCCACAGTACGTTGCAAGATTTTTACTCATTTTATACTCAAGCCAACATATCTGAGCTTTCAACCTTCAACCTTTCCCTTACCCTTTTCAAGCATTTCCAGGTAACAATGGCCAAAACCTCCAAAGTTGTTCCCTAAAAAGATGCTCCTTCTTCTTCGCGGCCGACCATTGAGGCCAAGGAAATCTCCCCTGATGTGGTCATCCTCGAGAAGTCCACTCTGGGTGCGGCCGCTGATGAACCGACACCCGAGCCCTCCTTGAGAATGTTCATCGCCGGGGGATGTTCGGTCAATGATGACTTCAAGATTGAAAAACCTTATTCTGTTCAAGGCCGGTGCGAGGAGGTGTCTCGGTACATCTTCTCCATCACTGAGGCGGTTCTCCCTATGGTTCGAAAGGACTGCGGCTGGACGGATAAGGACGTAGTAATTCCCGGGTCCAATGACGATATCACTACAANCGAGGACCAAAATCAGGGTTGGCAAGGACGCTTTGTCTGGGTAAAGACCGCCGACCTGATACCCGCCGAGTGGAGGCTGTTTCCCGAGAAGTGGAACATATTATATAAGTACACCTCCTTCCGAATGTTGATTTTATGTTTTATCTGCCCTATTCTCACCGGTGTTTGCTGTGATGTTGCCCTTGCTCAAGTTCCAAATGCCATCCCTCGGAAGGAGTGGATCAATGGCATTTGTTCGTAGATGTCTTATGCCGAACGCTCATGGCGCGAGCTCTCGCAGGGCCGCTGGGAGGCCCATTCTCATGGTAAGATCTTTCTCTCCGAATAAGCAGTTTTAGACGTTCCTTTTCAGCACTTATGTCCTCATTGACTCTACTCTTTTTGC